AGCATCATCATCATCATCAGCCATAGGACGTCCACTGTTGAACATAGGCCTCCCCCAATGCTTTCCATGTTACCATGAAAGAATTGTGTGTGAAAGCGCTGGACCCAGGCCGCTACCAACCGAGCTATAAGCATGGTACCTTTATAATAATATTGGGTCCCCCATTTGTGGAAACCTCATAGACAAAATTCTTCCATACAACCGAAATTATTAGTTTACTGTTTTAAGAATATTCAGGCGCATTTGTCTCTAAAATATAACTAAATCTAAGTCTTTATAAATAAACCTTGGCGAAACTTACAACAGTAAGTTGGTTCCAATAAATAAGAACGCGAGAATAATAATATTATTATAACGGTGTCTAGACTGAGATTCATCGGCTATATTCTGTAAACCTAAACATTGTTAGTAGACTAGGTATTTTATTTAATCTATATTTATAAAAGCAAAAAGTCACTGATTGGCTGACTGACTCACACACTCATCACAAAATCTCAGAAACTACAAGTGCTAGGAGTCTCAAATTTTGCTTGGGGTTCCTTTTAGAACGTAGGTGCTCACTAAGAACGGATTTAGGAAACTCCACCCCTAAGAGGGTAAAACGGGAACGAAGCCGCGGGCGGCCGCTAGTCACCCATCAGAATTGAATTGTAAACATTACGTGTTACAAAATGCTTGTACCGTTTATGAATCTTCATAACAATCGTCTCTTTCATCATACAGTCCAACATATTTCATCATCATCATCAACAGCCCTCTACAGCCCACTGCTGGACTATGAGCCTCCTCCACTTTAGAGGAGGGTTTTGCCATAATCCACGCTCACGCAATCGCAGTTTAAAAGATTGATGTTTATCAGAGATCGCTGCTGCCCGTTCTCTGTTTAATGTGTAGTCCCAACATATTTAATAAACCTTATTGAAGTAACTGTGAATAAGCTTAAATATTGTGTGCTTAAGCTTAAATCAATCTTTTCATTGATAAACATCCGTCACATTTTTACGTGATAATTATTTCAAGAAAAAAAAACTATTCTCTCTATTTATACAATAATCTCATCACAATCAAAGTTCGCAAAGCATACTATTTGCTGTATGTTCCGTTACATTTTTTTCCAAAGCACTCATTTCGCAATGATTATAATACATGACGAGGCGCAGTGCAGTGTAATGAAATCTAACTGGCTTCGTAGCAGCTTCGTTTGTAGCTACGAACTCGTAATATCAACTCATGGGCTCGTAGCTCGTAGCTTCTGCTCTGTAGCAATCGCGCCCGCCGTAGCGGAATAGTGAGGTGAGAAAAACTTCGCTGGAATTTTCCAGGAAAAATATACTAATGTTGCTCTGGAAAATATGTAACGTAGTCGTTCCATACTAGAGTCTGGCTACGTATTTTAATGATAGTTTGTAACAATTTAATGTAACTGTTATATGTATTTGCGTCTTAATTAAGGATGCTTGACTGTGTCTGAATGTATCCCATTATAAAGTTTCAGTTGTTCATCATAGTAACCAAAATTTTTGGCACAGCTTTCTAAAGCAAACCTCTTTAATTTATACCCTTACGATCTGCTGTTATATCATGTCCTAATGATATTTGAAAGTACATAGAAATTGAATACTGTTTCAGTCAATTAATTTGGCTCTTGTTACCGTACACTATGATCCGCTTATGTAACCTATCGATAAATACCACAACAATGTACGAAATATACATTATGTGAGGTTACAAACTTGTTAATAACAGCTTTATTATTTTACTGTGCGAACTATTGTTAATTTTTCAAGTAATTATTAATATTAATTTCATATATGTGTAGCGAGAATAGGTATCTAGCAAGACTATTTTATACTGAAAATCATAATCATTTTTCACAAACCCCTGTGATCATCGAGCTTTATTTAAACAACACTACAGGCTAACACTGGACTACATATGGCGAAATTGTCACATAAAACACAGTGGTAGACTTCCCGAAATTTCTATACAAAACAGCTGAAACGATTTTCGCTGCCACGGTTGCAGTATTTGCGTTGGCACGGAAAACTTTTTTCAGGATGAAAACCTCTATTGTTCTCATTGTAAGCCTGGAAAAACATTTTTTTTTCGACGTAAAACTCTTTTATTCCCATCGTCCATTTGAGTGACATTCTATTGCCGTTAAAATGTTAGAAAAACAAACATGCCACGTGAAAGTGCTCAAATACGTTAGAATACAGGGTGGAAACGTTAAGTGATCTCACTCGATTATTTCTAAACTATACAAGATATCAAAAAACTAGTTACTGATCCTGAAAGAGCTTCATGAGCTCTATCAAACAGATACTGTTAGAGAATAATAGGTCACAGAATAAATTAGATCTATCCGAAATTTCAATGTTTCCAGATTCTTAGAATGGTGATATCAAATTATACGCTGTAAACTTTTTATTTATGTTTTGTTTGGTCTGTTTCTAGAGGCATGAAATCACAAATAGGTACTTATCGTTTTTAATAACTTCAAGCCCTAAATAACTTTATGTTTAAGCTCATTACTATTCGAAAATATCTTAATAACCTATACCATACATCGTTCAAGCCAAGTTTATCACAAAAATATCGTAATTATGAAGAGTGGTGGACATAACTCGTGTTTGCTTACTGCGGCCTTGGCCTAGACAACTTCTGTCACAGACAACAGTCTGTCAGACCGCGGATCCGAGTAAACACATCTTATTTGCTTTGTGGTTCGGACTCTCACAAAATACAGGGTGAGATAGGAGAGAAAAACTTATGGCGCAGTTATGTATGCGGAAAATTGATCGAACAGTGTGCTTACCATGAGTTTACGTTAGGTGTGCTCGCTAGCAACTGCGTAAAAAATGACATTATATGAATGAGATATTGTGCATCGTCCCTTGCGGTTACTTTCAAGAAATAAAATCTTCATAGAATTTTTTGACGTACTACGAGTAGCTAGCGAGCACACCTAACGTAAACTCATGGTAAGCACACAGAAGTATGAACGACTACCGATACCAACTGAAGTGCACATTTACAAAACAAACGTGCCTCCTTTCAAGAGTGTATGTCTTGTAAACATAATGTGTATTAAATTCGTTTTATGAAAAGAGTAACGAGTATCCACAGCTCAAAAAGTAGGCTATTTTTTTTTTCGATGTTTCAAAAAATGTCTTTTTTATATTATTTCTGGATCGAAAAGCTTTTCCAAAAGTGGAGTTTGATTCTCAAAACCATACACACACAGTACAACAGCTTAGTCTTCGGCAGATATTATTTTTTTCAGTGTTAGCAATTTCTTTCAGGACGCTCTATACAGGGTGGAAACGATAAGTGATCTCACTTGATTATTTCTAAACTACACAAGATATCCAAAAACTGATTACTGATCCTGAAAGTGCTTCACGAGCTCTATTTAACGGTACCAATAATAGGTTACAAAATAAACTGGATCTATCTGAAAGTTCATTGTTTCCAGCCTCCATACATTTAGTAAAACCACAAGATATCCAAAAACTGGTGACTGGTCCTGAAAGTGCTTCATGAGCTCTATCCAACGGTACCAATAAGTTATAAAATAATCTGGATCTATCCGAAAATTCAATGTTTCCAGCTTCCATACATTTAGTACTGCCACAGTCATGGCACGCATGTCTTGATAATATTATAGCAAGTAAAGCCTAAAACCAATGTTTTCCATGAATAATTTTAAATTATAATGCAATTTACAAGTTAATTTTAAGTGTTAATTATTTAAAATAAAAAAAAATAACACTTCTAATATTGTGTGGCTGGCATAGTGGCATACATTTAGTATGGAGGCTGGAAACATTGAATTTTCGGATAGAGCTAGTTAATTCTGTAACCTATTACTGATATCATTTAAAAGAGCTCGTGAAGCACTTTCAGGATCAGTAATCAGTTTTTCGATATCTTGTATAGTTTAGAATTAATCGCGTGAGATCACTTATCGTTTCCACCCTGTATGCTATAACTCTAACACTAATTGTAACCTTGAAACTTAAAGCGACCAAATTATTCGCACCAGTTCCGAGGAAAATCTCAAATAGTCGCAAGTTTAGTTCGGGGAACAATCAGGAAGGCTCAATGGCGAAGGTTGTAAGGCTTCTCACAAACTAATATCATCGCCGAGTGATTTATTGCGCCACGGCTCAGTTGAGTCGAGTTTGTCAGGCTGGAAGGAATATCAGTGGGGAAAATTTAATTAAGAAAGAAAAAAATCGGAACATAGCTGCTAATTTATTAATGTTATCATCATCGTCATATCATTTCAGTCATTTTATTGAAGTCTTGCAAGGAACAATTTACCTTTGGGTCTCGCAATATTTACTATATCATCAAAGTCTGGCTCCTAATTGCTAACGATATTGCTAGTCTACGAAGTATAGTTTACTCTTTTAATACCAATATAGTAATATAAATATATGCCACTTTGCAACGGTAAGCATACCAATTTATTTAATTTCCACCGACTCCTGCTCTCCGTAACCGTACGGTTTCTTATAAGGTACAATTTTGTGTGGCAAGCTGATATCGTATGCCATGTTACTTCCTTATGCAATAAGAGATCAACTGCATACCCTCAATTGCATGGCCCTGAGATACTTCGAAGTTTTATCAACAACATTTTTAGAGATATAGTTAAACCCGCTATCGTGAATCATAAAACCTAAATCGGCCATGTGTTACTGTGAGTCGTACTTGTACATGAAAGGTTCCTTAATAACGTCGAAATTATAAATGCGGAAGTAACTCTGGTTGTCTGTCTGCCTGTCTGTTCTGCTTTCACGCCTAAACCACTGAACCGATTTTGATGAAATTTGGCATAGTAGTTTAAGTCCCGGGTAAGGACATTGGATAGTTTTTATCCCCGTTTTTGAAGCAGGGACGCGAGCGATAATGTTTTTCTGTGACAGATAAAATTTAAACGCGGGCGAAGCCGCGGGCGAAAAGCTAGTATAATAATATAAAAGCCTTACCTTAAACCACGCCATCGTTGAGTCGTCGTAGAGCACCACCCATTCTTCTGACCATGTGTTCCATAAATATTTTCCTGTGGGACAAAACAATCATAAATAACTATTTTATTTTAAAGACATTTTAAAGAATACTGAGTTCGACATAGAGTAGATTTAGCTCTATTTCAATATTAAATGTTTATGAAAGGCATTAAAAGTACAAAAATTACACTCATAAACTAACATTACAAGAATTTATGGAATATCGAAAATCCATATTTACTACAGTAAACTTTTGCCAAGCCATTTTAAATCTTACTGCTTGTCAGTTAGAATCGCTTTTAATCTACGTCAAGCGAGGTGGTTATGGAGGAATTTTATGTTGGCGTAACTTTGTGAGAGCATAGTGATGTGCCAAGTTTTTTCGGACTCAAATTGACTCGATTATCGGATTGTACCTATATTCTATGCCGATTTTTCAATAGGTAAATTTTGTATAAAGAATAAAATTAGCGTTTTAAACATATTTTTTACACAAAATCTGTTATTAATAGTAGGTAGTTTCGTAATTATGGTCCTAAATTCAATAACACCCAGTTTCGCACAGCTTTTAGAGCTAAGTTTCTGAAAATTCAATTCAAGAGGATTTTCTTGGTTTCTTGCCTTATCAATTAAATTTTATTCGATTCTTGAACGCTATCAACGATCACTTGAACTTGGCATGAATGAAGTCTCCAGTCAAAGATGCCCCTTTATTCCGGGCGTTTCATTCCGCGCTGGATTATTGAAATGGGTCATAAGATTCTCGGTAAGCGGGGTTTGATGCTTATAAATGTAGGTTAAATAACAGTTTAAGCCATTGCTAGTAGAAACACAGGGATAATCAGAGTTACAGATAGAAATTATAATTCATTCAATAAGGTACACAAAACCTGTAAAACTACTTTATGAGAAATAGACCAAGATTTTCTGAAAAGGGAATTTCAAAATATTAAACTCTGAATAAGTAACGACTAACTAAGTGAAGGAGTAAACTTAGCACTTTAATCTATAAAAATAAATAGATAAACTTACGTTTGTATCGAAGCATGTAGCCTCCCTTGATTTGTGTCCCACCATGTTCTGAAATAAAGGAATTGCAATAAGTATTCCACATAAACAAAGAAAACTCATAAAAAACTCATAAAACTCATTTATTTCTGTAAATAGGCTTAAAAAAAGCACTTTTACACGTCCCAGTATTAACCCTACCACTGCTTCAGGACAATAAATGGGCCAGTGCTGAGAAGAAGCAGCGCAAGAAACTCAGTCACTATTGTCAGCCTCTTTTTCAAAGGTTTACATGCTTTAAAATGTACAAAGTTATAAATATTTATGCGAGCTAGGCAGTAAAGTATCCCAAACATTTTTATCTTTTAAATAATCATCGACTTTATAGTAGCCATTTTTCATTAAGGTACTTTTAATATGTGCTTTGAATTTATGAATGGGTAGTTCTACAACAGTTTGTGGTAATTTATTAAAGAATAATACATTTTCCCATAAATGAATTACCAATCTTATGCAATCTGAAATTTGGAACGGCAAGTTTATTTTTGTTTCTTGTATTAAAGTTATGCAAATCGCTCTTTTTCGTGAATTGCTCTATATTTTTGCGGACATATAAAAGGTTTTCATAAATGAACTGTGAAGCTACTGTCAGTATGTTCCTAGATCTAAGAGATTGTTTGCTGCCAGGATATGTTCGTTAATTTGTTCCCTGGCTGAATTATATTTAGCTGTTATGGATGCAAGCGAGTCATGCAAGTTTGTGATTTCAGCCTGCAACCTTTCAACGTCCAAGTTATGAGTGGACCTACTCTCTACTAATTTACTGTGGTAGATTTCTAAACTGTCCACTAAATCTAAATTCTTTTTCCTTAACAGAATATTTTTGTGAAACTGTTCTTGCTGTTTTATTAATTTTTTTGTTTTAGATATAAACCTATTAATTTTAACATATTTTTTTAATTTATTTCTACTAGAAAAAGTTAATGGCTGACTAATGTTCTCAGATAATTTGGTGTCGCAAGATACATTTAGGTCTGGAAGCACTGCACGTCCACCAGGGCTTCCAATTAGCTCTTCGTATAGGTTCAGAGTGTGTGTGAACTCCTGCTGCTTTCTTTCCTCTTCGAAGTGCAGTATGGTCTTGTTGGCGTCCCTCAGTTCAGCTNCCTAGATCTAAGAGATTGTTTGCTGCCAGGATATGTTCGTTAATTTGTTCCCTGGCTGAATTATATTTAGCTGTTATGGATGCAAGCGAGTCATGCAAGTTTGTGATTTCAGCCTGCAACCTTTCAACGTCCAAGTTATGAGTGGACCTACTCTCTACTAGTTTACTGTGGTAAATTTCTAGACTGTCAACCAAATCTAGATTCTTTTTCCTTAACAGAATATTTTTGTGAAACTGTTCTTGCCCTTTTATTAATTTTTTTGTTTTAGAAATAAACCTATTAATTTTAACATACTTTTTTAATTTATTTCTACTAGAAAAAGTCAATGGCCGACTAACGTTCTCAAATGATTTAGTGTCGCAAGATACATTTAAGTCTGGTAGCACTGCACGTCCACCAGGACTCCCAATTAGCTCTTCGTATAAGTTCAGAGTGTGTGTGAACTCCTGCTGCTTTCGTTCCTCTTCGAAGTGCAGTATGGTCTTATTGGCGTCCCTCAGTTCAGCTTCTAACTCATTGTTGCGCATCAAGGTCTGCTGAAAGATATTGCTGCACTGGTCGAAGGTACTGATTGTATGCAGTAGTTCATCACGGTGCTCGGTTACCTCCTGGAGACGGACATGCAGTTCTGCCAATTCTTGTTTTAGTTCTGTATTCTTTCTTATTGTACAAGTAATTTCCTCCTCGCTCTCTTCTCTTTCCCTAATGAGTTGGTTACAGCTTTCTTGACTCTGTTTCAGTTCCTCGAGTGCCCGCCTAAGTTTCAGCTCAATGGCTTGTGCCGCTGCTCTGCGTGTGAGCATGTTGAATGTGGTTTTTGTCTGAAATTATCCAAAATCTAAATCAGGTAATCCCGTACCTATGTAGGTAATTGCTCGAGCGAATGACTTCAAAATAAATTTTTCTTAGGTCAATGTACTATCAGTATGTACTCGTAGGCGTAGGCATGTAAAAGGTAAATGACAATAGTATCTGGTACTGTAAAAATGGCCATACCAAGAAAAACAGCAGCAATTCTGACATTCCACCGAAAAATGGCGGTAAGTAGCGCGTGACCCGGGTCAGAATGGGGTCGGAATTAGGAACCACTCGCACTCGTGTCTCCGAATCGACCGCAAGTGTCGAACGCTATAAATCTGACTCCTGCTTGCAATTTGAACGATGTAGGGTGTAGGTAAATTGATTTTTAAGACTAGTCAATGTAGCGGACATTTTTGCTTTATTTCCTGAATACTAGACTGAAAATTTGATGAACTAGAGTTGACAGAGTAGCACTTGCGTGCAGGTTTTCTTTAAAAAGATACTTGTTTTTACTTAGTTACTTTGGTTACATCAACGCCCTTAAAGTAACCTTATTAAAAATTTTCAAAGCACATTTAAAATAACAAGATAGTAGGTTCTCAAATTACACAAACCGCAAATGAAGGCACTTTATTTTTAATCTTATTTCTCGTTAATCAGAGAGTACAGTCTTTGCCTGAATAAGTGTCACCTTTCATCCAATAAAGTAAGACCATTTAAAGTTATGATTAGAAATTCAATATTTGGCTTAGCATCCTAACCTATTTTACTTAATTTAAAATCTTACCAAAGATATAAATTAAACTGACACTGTTATGAATAACTTGTGACTTTTTATTACTTACAACACTGCAACCTACACGATAAAAGAAAAAAAAACAATAAATAGGTACACTCATATTGGAAACCTTTGATATCAACCCACAGCTCTTAAATCCAATTTTAAATACAATTTTATGCAGAAATAAATTGATTAATTGCATAAAGGCCTAAAAAGATGCCTTTTTTAACGCAGACTGTACTTCGCCGACAAAGCCCGATAGAACAATGGCGACCGAAAGCGCTAATCAGCCGCAATCATCTGTTATTGTCCAAATTACGCGAGCAGCTTCAACCGTAGACTTGTGGACGTCTAGAGAATTTAATAAAGGAACCTACTTAGTTGTATAGACCATCATTAACACTTAAACTGTATTAGCAATTTGTCAACTCCTAAATTTGTTTAAAGAACTGTAGCGAAGAACCCTAGAATCTTCACTAACCTATGGCTAAGATTCCTAGAAATTGTTCAAAATCAATACCTAATTGTTGAATTAGAAGTAAGAGTAATAACAGAGTAAATACAAATGAGTAGGTCATCTTCATAGAATCGGACTGAGCGCGGTTTGTATGTGAGCGCGCCAATATACGTATGCGGCGCGCACGCACACACTGACAAAATTCGGCGCAACCACGACTGGCTCCCCGCTAATCCACGCTAAAAAATTACTACTACTACTACTTACGTTTCTATGAAGATAACCTACTCATTTGTATTTACTCTGGTAATCATAACCTATTATTAAAAAACTTATTTGCTTCCAATTCATCGGCCTGCCGGGCTAGGATGCGCGCCGTGATATACTCTTACCAACGTCAAAATGTATGGGCAAAATCGATAAAATGGCGTGATAACCGCTTATCGCGGCGCGCATCCTAGGCCTACAGGTCATCACTTTGTATCAGGCGAGATACAGACCAAGAGCTTCTGGGTTAAAAAACATAAACGTCTTATTGATACTTTTTCAGGCAATGACTTTTTCTTTGTTGTAGAAATTAAGATTTCGCCAATGTTACATGTGCAGCTTTGATAGAGTTACATTGCGTTTTCATGTCGACTTTTTATCCCATTTCAGTATCGTCCTCGACACATTTATGAGCACACGTCAGACATTTTACATAAAAGCTCGTAATGTCCAACATAAAGTGTTGTCAGGCAAATTGCGGTTCATAAGCGGGTCTCCGAGGAAATCTGCTGTGCCAAATGTGGCACGATGTGGACGGGAATATCTCACGTTTCGTTATAATTAAAAGGGTTAATGTAAATGATAGCAAGGATTCTGTTGATTAGGTAATTTTATTCTGCTTATGTAATGCTAATACAAACATTTATATCAACAACAGTATCGCCTTTTAAACGTCATACTTACTCGGGTTATTTAACAAGTTTATTGCAAATTAACTGGCACTGTGCAAATACTATATCATCAAATAATTGCTCTCATCGTGAAGCGTCGTACTTTATTAAAATTAAAAATCCTTTATTATCTGGTTCGAAAGACCATTAAATGAGAAGACCCACAAAATTACGCACACACTACAAATACGTGAAATCAAATTATTCTTCTCAATAACAAACTTTTTCCTTACATATAAATCCGGCTCGAAGGACTATAAAATAAGTAGACACTCGCACGCACAAAATAGGTTGACTTTAAAACCACTTACACTCGCATAAATTAACACATTCCGTGGTGTTCACAAACATTTTGCCCTCCAAAACACGAATAGGGCTTCCTGGAATAATTTGAGGGTAAGATTTAAGGCGGGAAGTTTCGCGCGAGGCGATCAAGGGAGGCATTAAACCGTCGTTGGTATGGTGGCGCTACTGAGTTGCTAATAATTTCGCCTCAGGATTTGTCACAACAGCGTTATTAACATAATGGAAAAGGGTATAGTTGTCTCAAATAAAACATGTTAATAAATCATACCTACTGTCTCTACATATTAACTATACGTCCCATATCTGGAGTATGGTAGGACTATGCATGCTCATTTGGATGAGAATGTAATTAAATAATTTAAATATTACTTTTTTCACAACAAAATGATAATGTGGGTTTCGGCCAATATGCATTCTATGAAGATTATTTCACTTTAGCGTTTTGTAAAAATACTAATTGAGTCTACAACTACAGTGTTTATTTGATATGTGAATTAAAAACTTTCTCCCCGCATATCCTATAATTATAAGGAATACGAGTAACTACGTCTTGAGGATAAAACGACAAGATTTTAGGTGACATCATCCAGTAGGCATCCAGTAGAGGACTAGGTGGACCGACG